ACTACTGCGGCATACGGAGTCTGATCAACCCGCAACTCTACCAGCTGGAGGTCTCGGTTGACGGGCTGGACTTGGATGATGTCCTTGAGGGCTAGGTTGCTATCTAACAAACACTCCCTTCGAACGAACAAGGGAAAGGGGAGAGTGGCTACGATGTCGCTTCCCCGGCATCCAGCTCTTCGATCGTCCTCTTTGGTTCCGGTGAACCAGTGCCTCCCACCTAGTCCGAAGGGGAGTACCCAGCCAACGAGGCTCATGACTGTCACGATCCCGATGCACACAGGTGCATAGTTGAGCGTTTGCTGCTCGGCGTTAGCACGTTTCCTCACTCAGCATATGATGGGGACACACATATCGACGTCACAGGGTACACCTGCGGAAGCAACAGCACAGAAAACAATAACATGATATACCAGAATCGCCACCGTCCCCAGCACATGACTGTACCTCCCCAAATTCCACTTCGCCGGCACGAAACTCTTGCTCCCAATGGTATACCTCGCCGCAATGGGTATCAAGTAACTGAAATTCGTCGCAATCGCCGCCGTCGCCATTATAGCACTAAACGCTACACTCGACCCAATCACCGCAAGGGTGATGACAATACTCAGGCCGCACCAGAGATACGCCGCGCGCACGGGGATCTTGTTCGCGCTCAGCTGGCGGAAGTAGGACGAATAGGGCAGCACGCCGTCGGGGAGATGGCAAACGTCACGCGCTGGGCGGACATGAAGCACGACGACGTGGCGCAGGTCGAGTCGAGCCACAGCAGGGCGAGGTACTCGGCGAAGTTGTTGGAGTAGGTGGCCGCGATGATGCCGTCGAAGTCTTGGATGCAGAAGAGGATTATGATGAGGGTCTGGCCACTTTTAGTTCACATCCTACCTTAGATCTGAATGGACACATGTTCGAGTAGTTGGAAACGTACCGGTATCGACAACAACCAAGACGACAGCGTCGCCATCCACCTCCCTTGGCCATGACCTCGCTCGCCTCGTGCGTCTCCTCCGCGAGATGCGCGCTCGCGCCGTAGCCAAAGAACACCCACGCGCCGAACAGCACGCCAATAATACAGCAGTACTCATCCCCAGCCCTCCTCGCCGAAATTATTCCCGTTGTAAACCCTCCCAAACACGCCCTCCCCGCTCTGAAAATGCTTCTTCCCACTCGCCGCCCTGGCCGGGAACCAAGTCCAGTCCAGTAAAGCGCAAACAGGGTAAAGAGGATAAACACCGCAAACCGGAAATAAACCTGCAGCACCCTCTGACTAATAACATTAGGCAGCGTAGGAAAGCCCATTCTCACTGCAGTCAACAACCACCCAAACCAGCCTTTATACAGCAACTCTTGCCCGGGATACCTAACCTCCAGCGCCGCCAACAGAAAACCCGTCGCCCCTACTACACGCCGGGGACAACGCACACCCAACCCGCCCAATTCCACACACAGGCCGTCATCCAACTGAGTAAAGGGCCCCCATTCCTCGCCTCCCAGGCGGTAGGCCCAGAAGTAGATGCCTCCCGCCGTGGGGAACGCGGCCGCTATCTCGGCCATTACTAGCGACACGACGAAGGAGAAGCCGCCGACCATGGTCCAGTTCGCGAAGGCTGACGGGGGACCGCCCGTGTACATTGCCCAGCCGAAGACGACGGGAATGCTCCGCTGATGAAGTTCATGGAGGTGAATGTTGCGGCCTAGTTTGCGAAGAGGTCTGGGGGGCGGAAGAATTCTGGGCGTGTAAGTGGTGGTGGTGGGAAGAGACATGCTGGGGGTTTGGGTTGGGGAGATGCGCTGGGGACATATGCTGTAGGACGGCGATGGGCAGGTTTGAAGAGGCTCGATGGCTTGGTCGCTTGATGGCTTGATCGCTCACTAGCTTGATATCACTTACCTTGCTGGTACCCCAGGGTCGCCAGATGCTGTTCATCATTGTTCAGCTTCAGCTCCTCACCGGCCTCGACGTTGGGGGCGACCCCGATGACGTCCTCCGAGGCAACTTCTCCGCCATTGTGGACTGACGATAGCTTCGGGACAAGAGAGGAAGAAGGATGAAAAATAACACACTGTCGTAGCAGTCCATGCCGTCGGAGAGAAGGGCACCATCTTTATCGTACCTCGTTCAGCATGCACAGCAGCTTCTCCGCACGCACGCCCGCCCGCCAGGCCGCGGTCTGATCTGCTGGTACCCTAAGCAGCATATGCGTGAGGGTATCTATCTCCCAGCTAACCTGTCTACGGCCCGGTCTAGTCTGTCGCACCTCGGAAACTGTAGGCTGTTAGTGTTATTTGGAGCTTGCCGCTGTCTGTGTGTAAGTGCTTCGACCCCGCAACCTGGACCTTATCTCGAACATCCAGTTCGTCGGGTTACTCCCAATCAGATGTGAGTGTTACCACGGTCAGGACAGGAGCAACATCCTGATCTGCGTCCGGATTGGAGCTTGTCGGTGGACGCCTGGGTATCTTGGTGAAGGAGGGATCGTCATCCAGAGTCTAAAGCTTGTTCTAGTCGTGAACGAAGGATCGCCATCCAAAGACTAAAGCTTGTTCTAGTGGTGAGGCTTCGGGGTCTGGCTATCAGTCTGTACTCGCTCTGTCGCTCTGCGGCACGGTCTAACCACCAGCCAAGGTGAAGATAGAGGTCTAAATGTGGCGGAATTTGGAATGAGGAGTCGACATTTGAGGACTAGACGTGAAGGATACCGTTGCTGCTTCCGGCATGTACATGCGGGAGAGATAACATCCGCGATCTCGCGATCAGACAGACAGCTATACCGGAGCCAAACGTTTGCTCGATGTGATGGCGATGTCGGGGTTTCCTGCACGCACCGGTATGGACCGAACAGAGAGGTTTCGCACTATACTGCAGTACCGTGGAGATACTCATGATATGTTTGACCAATGGGGCAATGCAACAGCACTGCCATCCGGCACAAATAGCCAGGGGGGCTTCAACGTCAATCCGATCACAGGTTAATCTCTCGGCGCCGCGTCACAAAAAGCGTGGTTGAAACCAGGGCCCTGGAGTAGCGGAGACCTGAAACCACCAGCCAAGACACGATTGTTTTCTTCCCTTGCACAGAACCAATCACGGTGGAGTCGAACCCTTGTTTCAGGGCTTGGAAGCTGGAACACAAGCTTCTACGACATCTTGGCGGCCGATCTTCAGCTCCTGGTCTGGGTTGGCTGTAACAAGATAACAAGATTGCCGCCATGAGGCCAGTCGATATGCCGAAGGTATAAAGAGGACTTTCAGCCGCTCATGGCTGGGCTTTTAGGGGGTTTGGGCAGGTCTGGTACTTCATTCGATTCGTTTGGGTATATAATTGAGAGGAAAACGGACTTTTGGGAATTAATCAAGAGGAGGGTGCTGGAAATTGAAGAGCGCGACGTGGGCAAGGCCTCATTTTAAGAGCAAGATGCGTTGGAAGACTTCATTCCGCGCTGGACGCGGGAGACGGGATGGTCTCGGCGATGCACGAGGAGAGCACTCTCTCCACATCCGACAAGACGACCCGACGGTCCCGGACTTGGTTACGGACGACGACGACAACATCGACGACGGCCCGGACACAGACACAGAAGATGACGACGACGCTGCTTCACCCACGGGTGCTCCTCCACCGCCTCCACCTCCGCCGAACGCACCTCCCTCCCCGACAAGGTCCATACCAACACTAACACCCATCTTCCACACCTCCGCCCCGTTTACGACGTCGACAACTGGTCGAGGCGTCAAGACAATTCCACCTCCACAAGACGAGACCTTCTCGACTGTGACGACATCCTCGAGTCGGAAGTCGGCAGCGACATCGACATCCGTCGGTATCACCACCGCCACGACCATCGGCGCGGGGCTAATCGCTTCGGCGACCGGTACCGGTCAGACGTCGGCGCTCAGCGTGATGCGGCCGGAGGAGTCCGACCCACCACTGGTCGGCAGCCCGTCCTCTCGGTCGGGGTTATCAGCGGGTGCGAAGGCTGGTATCGCTATCGGGGTTATTTGTATGTCTCCCCCCCACCCAAAGGATGGAACTTCGTCTGACCAGAAACCACAGCGGCGGTAGCACTCCTCGCCACCCTAGCCTTCGTGCTCTTCAAACGGCGAGCAAGAAGAGACAACAACAGCGCTCCCGCAATGCCGCCCGACCACAACCACAACCACAACCACAACCAGCCCGGCGGTACCAGAACCCAGTCCCAGATCATCGCCGACATGGTGGCCTCCGCCAACGCAATGCAAAACGGCGGCATCCCCAGTCCATATCACCCGGACGAGAAGTCACCCATCTCTCCCCTCGCGGGAGGAGAACAGCCTCAAATCCGAACCTCAATAGCGAGCTGGCTGAGGCGTCACCACCCCTTGAACCTCAACCCACAAGATGGGAGGGCTAGCACGGCATCCGCGTCAAAAACACCCAGCCTAGCATCCGTACCAAAAACACCGACCACAGGCTCCCCGCGGACAACAACAATATCCCTCGACAGCCCAGAACGCAAATCCAAACCAGCGGACAAGGACAAGGGAAAATTCATCTCCGTCTGGTCTAACTCCACCCCCTCAACCGCGTCGGAGGGTAACAGGAACACCGTCTCATCGTCAGAGTCGGGGGATGGGGGGGGAACGGCCATCCTCTCCATGTATGGAAAAGGGTTCGACTCAATACGAGGGACGTGGGTTCTCCCTCCCAGGCCGAGGGATAGTGTTACGCCCAGCCAGAGCGTTAGTCAGAGGGGGAGTAGAGTTGGGTGACGGGTGCGTGAGGTCGGGTTAGAGACGGGTGGGTAGATCCGTCTGCATGGTGAAGGGCGTATCGGGTACGTCCTTTGCCTGATGGAGTAAAGGAGATTGGGCTGATGGGGATAATGGGGGAAGAGGGCACACTCGGACATAATGGTCCCTTGAATGGAAGGATCGGAGCAAAAGGGATGGACACTCCTGGTGAGGAAAGGGAACAAAGACACAACCCATCCAGAGCAAGGGGTCTCCGCGGCAAAAAGAAGGGTCTGTCCGGGGATTGAACCCGGGACCTCTCGCAAGCTGTGAAGCTTTGGATGTATAGGGTGAACCCTAAGCGAGAATCATACCGCTAGACCAACAGACCCGATTCTTTGACTTGTGATGAGTCAGGAATTGATGGAGGTCGAGGATAGGGAAAGGGTTGAAGAAGGGAGCGTGTGAAGAGTTTGCTGATGTGGGGGATTTGGTGGATGGATGGATCGTGGTGGAGGTCGCGGATGATGCGGGTGTGGTAGACGGGGCCGCGAAACGGGGCGGGACGGGGCGGGACGGGAAATGACTCAGGCCAACACGGAGGTGTCTCCGGTGGGAGATGGAACTGTCGACAGTGGCTCGGGCAGGTCTTGTAGGATATTGACCTTGCTGCGGGAGAACTGAAAGGTGACAGATGCTGCATATAGATGTAGACTGACAGCAGAAATGCTCAACGAGAGACTTCTGAACTGTGCGGCTCGCGACGGGGATTTGTGAGTGAACTCGTATATCACTATTGCGTTTGCGCTAAGCATGTGAAGGTGCAAGAGTGTTCCAGATGTACGTGTGTCAGTCCGTCCTGCAGTATACACCGAGCAGCCAAGTTCGGGGAACTTTGAACATTGTTGGTTGCGTATCAGCTGAGAAGGCCAGATCCATCACAGAGCCATATTGCTCAAATACCTAACCATATTCATGATCGGAACGATGTCCGACCACGAGTAAGTCCTACGCAACGGCAAATGTCGAGGACGTGGCTTTTGTTGGAGGATCGGGCCTGGTCTTGTGGATTTTCTTGAGCTCTGGCTCCGGTTCGGGCAAGTGTCCCGGTCGAGGGCGGGCGTTGATGGCGTACAGGGCCTCGCTGAGGAAGGTCTCGATGTAGCTCACATCTTCCTCTGGTTTAGGCCTGAGCTCGAGCATCTTCAGTGCGCCTTTCATGTGGGCGGAGGCTGCCTTTGTGTCGCCGAGTGCGAGCTGGTCGCATGTCAGTACTTGCAGTTTGACTAGGAGGATGAAGAGCAGTACCTCATCCCAAGACAGCATAATAGTCTTCGCGACAACGGTGCTGTTTATGGGCACCGCTTTGGCGATCTCGTGGTTTAGTTCTCTCATGCAGGCAATTTTGAACCGCATCGACATCTCATGGAAGTCTTCCTTGTGCTGCGTCTTCCACAGGTGGCGGCATGCGGCGAGGTAGATGGTGTTCTTGAAGGCGGCATCCGTGAGTCCGATCTTCACCCAGTCTGATGTCACGGACAGGAGATCGGAATGGAACCGTCCCATGCGGTAACAGAACGAGTTTATGTAAGGGATGACAATGGACATGACTGGGGGGGGGGGGGGGCAGATTAGTCAACTGCTGCAGGTAGGGGTAGGGGTCAAGCACGCGGCCCGGCCTGGCTAATGCAGTCAGTATCAAGACTTACAATGCTGGAAGAGATAGTCCTCTAGGGGCGTGAACGCATATTTGTAGCTCAGAAACGGGTCCCGCATGTCAGGTACGGGTACAGTCGTCGCTGTTGGACGGGGTACATAGACCATCCGTCTTTCAGGCGAACTGCGGCCGCTCGATGTCTGCCTAGACTCGTCGCACTCCTCATAGGGGAAGTACCCTCCTATGATGTTGTCATGTGGACCAGCAGGGGGGGCAGCCGCAACAACCAGCTCTAGTTCGGCCTGCTCGGCCTGATACTGCAGGGTTCGAAGCCTCCTGAGTCGTGCGTGGCCGGACCGGGCCGCGTGGGATCTCGCCTTCCGTCGGGCCTCTTGGGAGACGCGGTCTGTGGGGTTGGCCTGGTTGATGAACTGGAAGGTCTGGGTCTGGCGAGCTGGGCCCATGGTTGAGTGTTGAGGGACGACTTAGACGCAGAGTGAAGATGAAGGTCAGATGAATGATGAAGATGAGTAAGGAGAAAGATCCGGTTCAATTGCCTTTCGCAGAAGGTTCTCAGCTTGGCAAATGCCTGATAGAGACAGATTTATGATGCACCTCTTTTGGGAGGAAGTGAAAACATGCGGTCGGCATGATGTGCGAAGTACTTGTGCTGGTCGTCTGTTTTAAGTGGCGTGAGCGTCGTGTTGAAGGATCAAAGTAGGATTGGATACCCATCAAATGCCAAGAAATGCAATTACCGCTTTGGGACGAGTTCGGTGCTGTGGCCTGCTGAGTCACCCATGGCTGACGCAGCGATCGAGACCGCATTGGCTTGCTGACTGTTCCAGATCTCAGCTGGCCCGTGCCCGGATCAAAACGCACAGTCCATCCAATGTTGCACGTGAGATGCAGCCCAGAGAAAAGGCGGGGGAGGGACAAGGGAGTGGAGATGACAGGTGGGGTGACTGAAATGCTGGGGAAACAGCGGACATGGGACCGTGACCTGACAGACACAACACAAATTGGGAGCAAATCTGACATGTTCCAGGTTCCAACACAACTCGATTCAACCCCTGAATTTGACATTCTTAACTCACTATTCCCGTGTTTGTTATCCTGCGTCTATATGCACGTCGACCTACATATGATCCACGTCTAGCTTCGGCAACTGTGAAAGGTACAGAACCTGGGGTAGGCCACGAAGATAGAAATCGGGGTAATTTAACGCAAACATCCGGACAGCCGTCCGTTGCCGGACCGTCCAATGCAATAGCCTGTGCGTCTTCTCTCTCTTCCATCGAATGCCAATCCCGAAAGGGGACACACGCTCCAGTCTCCAAGCATTTCCCCGCATGAACACTGTGTCTCAGCCGCCACTCATTCAACACACACACAGCACACGGCGCATTCAACCCAAGCCCTGCCACGCCCATCACATCACACCCGCATTTGACATCGCACCACAGCGAGGAGAGGAGAAAGGAAAAGGAGACGCGTCGCGTTAACCGTCTACCACCGCAGCCAGCAGCCAGCAGCCAGCAGTAAGCCATGGATGCCGCCGAGCCCGCTGCAGGTAGTGGTACCGCATCCTCCATGTTCCAGGAGCTGCGCCAGGAGCAGGTCAAGGCCGAGAACGAGCATCGCAAGGTGGCCGCCTGTCTGGTCTGTCGCCGGAGCAAGGTCAAGTGCGAGCGGGGGCCCGTCGGCGATCGCTGCCGGAGATGCATCCAGCTGCACACCGAGTGTGAACGGCCGGCATTTCACGTGGGACGGAGGAAAGGAGTGAAGAAGTGAGCTCCTCTCTCACTCTCTCACTGGTCCCGTATCAAGGTTACTGACCATTCTCTCACAGCAAGCGCACGGGGCTGGACAAAGCCCTCTACCAGGTGGAGGAGGCTCTGCGGCAGGTCAGCCAGAATGCCCACAGCATCGACGCCACGAGGGCAGTATCGGAGCTCAAGGCTTTGCTGCAGAACAGCCCACAAAGTGGACAGCAAAGGCAGCACTCTTCGGGGGGAATCGCGGACAGGAAACGGCGCCATGTCACGGCTTCGGTCGAGAGCCACGACCAGGAGTCCTCATCCGAGACGGAGGACCACGCGGACTCGCCGCAGAGTGAAAACAGCGCCCGCCAGGTGTCTTCTCCCGTGTCATCACGGAATCCTCGGGAAGAGAGCCTGGCGGTAGACGACGCCGAGAATCCCCTTCAGCTGCTGGCGAGGGCGTCAAATCTGCACCTTTCGCCACCATCGAGCGATCATGCCGCATCCGGGGCAACGGGGTCAGGGTCCCTGCAGAGCCTCTTGAATCACAACAACAAGGACATTGCCGAGATAGAAAGGTTCTTCAACTCGACGCAGTTTGCGCTGGATACCGATGCGGACATGGACCCGATCAACCTGGGGCTGCTGTCTGAAGAAGAAGCCGACGCATTATTTGTCTTGTGAGTCTATCACATACATGACATAACCTTGCAGCACCAATTTTAACAGCCTTTAAGCTTCCACCAAAACCTCTCGCACACCCGCTGGGGCCTGGACCCCCTCCTTTACACCGCATCCTTCACTCGCGCCCGCTCCCTCTTCCTCTTCACCTCCATAACCGCCATGTCCGCCCTCTTCATGCCCTCCGCCGGCGCCTTATCGAGACGCCTCTCGAACCACTGCAAGACCCTCGCCAACCGGGTGATAGCGACGCGGTGCCGCTCCGTTGAGATCGTCCTGGCCTTCATGATCAACGTGCCCTGGATGTTTCCCGGAAAACACAGCGCCGACGACGACACATGCTGGTACGTGTCCATGGCGGCGACAATATCGATCGATCTGAGCCTGCACAAGACGCTCATGCCGCTCGACTCGCACAATGCCGACCCGCCGGTCAATGTGAGCAGGGCGGACTGTATTGATCCCAGGGCTGCGCTTGCGCTGGACGGGTTTCATGAGGTGGACCCTGCGAGCGAGCTGGGGCGACGGTTGCTGAGGAGGAGGGAGAGGACGTGGATTGCTTTGTTCGTGCTTGAACGGGGGTAGGTAGCAGTGGGAAGAGGGTTGTGATAAGGTCAGGGGCTAACAGGTTACAGAATGTGCCTTGCGAGAGGTCGAACCTACACAATACCGCATACGCCGATCATAAAAGCGTGCGACCGGTGGCACATATCCGATATTGCTGATAGCATGGACGGGCATCTGGTGTCCATGGCTGTTCTGAGGAGAGATCTGGTATGTCTAGCTCTTCCCTTACTTTGTATCTCCCCTTTCTGACGTGCGTAGGACAAACTCTTCGCCACAATCCGGTCATTATGCGACGAGGCCCTCGACAGCAGAAACAACGGCTCGGCAATAGCACATTCGTGAGTCCATCTTTCCCTTTACACACATCCCTGCTCATCATACTAACTGCCGTAGGATACAACTCACCATAGAACAATTCTTCGAGCGCTGGCACGCCAACTGGGGCCACTCCATCGGCACCGGTCCAGGTCAGTTCTGCAGAATCTGCCATGTTACTTGTTGCCCCTCGCTGACAGAAGCCACAGAGTCCCGCCTTCCCCCCTACGTCCAAATCCTCGTAACCCACACCCGCCTCTCCATCTACGGCAGCGTGATAAACCACCCCACCGCCTCGACCGAAGTGCGGCACTTCTTCCGCGCCGCCGGCCTCTCCTCCGCCCTGCACGTCATGCGCGCCGCCATCCGGGGCGAGTCGGAGCTGAAATCCATGCCCAACAACACGGC